AAGGAGAACTATACCATCACTGAGCAGGAGTGCCTCGCTGTGGCTTGGTCAGTACAGAAGTGACTATCCTTACCTGTACGGCTGTCAATTCACCGTCGTAACGGACCACCACGCCTTATTCTGGCTTTCTATACACTGAAGAATTTGTCCGGACGCTTAAGTCATTGAATTTTACGTTTACAGGAGTATGAGTTTAAGATTGTTTATAAATCTGGCAAAAACATCAAGACGCCGAACATTATTTCCCGTTTCCCACTAACCTAGGCTACCGCTCGACACTCCCGCTGCCGTCATTAACAACATCAGTTCAGACATGCCTTCTAGTTTGATTGCCTTGCTCACCTCACTAGACCAGCCGCCCATCGACGACAACCATCCCTTCAGTTCTCGAGAACTGGCTGACACGTACTGTCAGTGCATTATAGACCACCTCTCAGGAGCTACGCGTCCAGCCAACGAACGCATGGCTTCCTCGTCAACTTGAGCACATTAAGCTGCAGAGTGGTGTGCTGCATTGTAACATTTATGATCTTCACTGTCAACGCTGGGTACCTGTTCTGCCACGCTCTTTTCGACATCATGTACTTAACAGCTTTTCCCGACCATTTGACTGTTGGTCACCTAGGCTTTTACAAAACCTACGACCACATTCGAAGCCGCTTTTACTGGTTTTTCTACCAGCGTAACGAGGCATGTTGGTCCCCGCTCTCCGTGTCAGCTTCGCAAAATTCCAACTTCTCTTACTGCCAATCAGTTACTACCAAATAAGTGCTCTATACAACCTTTCGAGGTCGCCGGTGTCAATATTTATCGGTTCCTTCACGTTACTGGCGCTTATAATAGACGAATAGTCGCCGCCGTATGCCATCTGACGTGCTACGCCGAGACGTTAATGGCTAATGCTTCAACTTCGGAAGTTGCTGACTTCGTCTTTCTGGTCATAATTCTGCGTCAGGGCATACTTCTAAATGACCGTGGAAAGAAATTTTTATTCGAACTTTTAGGTGAACTCCTTCGCGTTTCTGGCACTACACACAAGACGGCGTCTAGCTACCATCTTCAAACAAACGGTCAGACCGACAGATCTCATCAGACCCTTGCCGACATGATCATCATGTACAGATGCTCTTAAAATAATTCAGAGCACCAGAGCGGTGGCCGCTCGTCGGCGGAGTGCGCCGGTGAAAAAGCAGTGCCAGTGCCTGCGCGTGCGCGGTTTCCCTAGCAAGGACACCTCGTTCCCCAAAGCATCTAAATAGGTGTTGCTTTGCTTCAGAAGAATAGAGCTGGTTGCTTTTTAGCGTTTTGCTGATGTGGATGCGGTCTAAGCGCTCTGTGCGCGCGTATTCACGCCGTGGAGCATACGTGCGCGTGCATGCGCGTTAATGGGCGTCAGTGCTTTTGAAAGTCAATAGTTTAACCACCTCAGTAGTTGCAGAATGTGACCATTTCGCCGTTAATTTTCGACAACACCTGTAGTAGCAAAAATTAGAAAGTGGCATACTGCACCTCAACGGTTCAATAAAGCACGTAAAAGAATATTAAGCACCAAGTACCTTCGAGTAATTCTAAATTCTTTAAGGCTAAGTTAAGTGATCAGGGTAATTAGGAAGCCCACAGCACAGACCCCACACGATACATTTATTACAGCTAGCTAATATGTTTTACCAGGCAAGTAAACGTAAATAATAAATGTTTTTGACACGTGCACGATAATACGAAGAATAAAGCATAAATTCCGCACTGCGTGTCAATACTGGTCATGCCAAATTGAACATATTACGAGTTCCACTAATTACAATCAATTCAAGGCTTCGCAACAACGAGTGCTTAAATTCGACGATATGACGGTCAATCAATAGTCACAACATATTTACCAGAATGAAGCAATTGGAAACAGAATGACAATGGCGCGTAACGCTTTTGTCGTCATTGTCGTTTTGAGAATCAATAAGAGGGCGTATATAGCCCTTTTTTTTCTTTTTGGCGATGGTGCACGTCTGTCTCTTCAGATACGCCTGCACGATACGTTACTATAGATTTGCCATGCATGACTGGGTGTAGCCCGGCAAAGGTGCACTTTCATTCCACGTATTTATTTATTTATTATATCCTCAAAGGTTCCGTATGGAACTTTACATGAGGGGTGGGCGATGAAAGGCGGTATCAAAAGTAAAGGTTAAGATGCAGTTGAGTCTGCTGCTTGTATGGCATTCCTGAAGCGCGCAGAATCCCGGATGACAGCCGCCTCTTCCGGAAGGTCATTCCAGTCTCGGGCGGTGCGCAAAAAGAATGACTGTTGAAATGATGTGGTGTGAGCACGTGGCGGAATTACAGCGTTTGGATGACTTCTGCGATGGCCTCGATGGACTGGTTGGATGAGCTGGTTGTCACGTGTGGCTGAATGAAAGAATTTGTGAAAAAGGCACAAACGTGCAATATGACGACGAAAAGCGAGGGTAGGAAGCTTTAACTGGTTTTTTAGGTTGGAGATGCTGGAGTAACGGGAGTAATCTGAAGCAATGAATCTGGCTGCTCGGTTCTGGACAGATTCCAGAATTTTAATATGATTTGTTTGGTGGGGGTCAAAGACGGCAGATGCATATTCAAGTTTAGGTCTGACAATGGTGATATAAGCGAGTAGTTTAACGGAAGGTGGTGCCATGAAAATGTTGCGGCGTACGTAACGTATTTGTGAGCAGTTTGCGCGCACGATTGATAAGAAATTATGAAGGTATGAAAAATTTTCTAGAGTGCATGAGCAATGGACAGTGGAAGATTGGGAGGAGATGATTTTCTCAGATGAGAGCACATTTTGTTCAAGGTGGGACCAGGAGCTCCACGTTTGGAGGCCATACAATTGTAGGTATGTGTCTTTTGATTGTGTGGACATACTTATTCCAGGCGTTTCCTACGAAGAGGCACACATTTTTTCCCCCTTTATTTGTGCAGATACGACCCTGGCTATATTTTTGAGGTCCACAAAAGCGGCCAGTGTGCTGTAAACGTCTGGGGAGTAGTAAGCAAAGATGGCCTCGGCCCGCTAGTGCGGCTATCACGATCTTTCATAGCTGGGGCCTATTGCAAAATCCTCGACAGTCATCTTCTTCCGTATGCTCTGGACGGGCCATTTAAAGACGGGTGCTTTTGGTTTCAACAAGACCTCAGCCCAGTGCGCACTGCCAGAGCTGTTCGGAATCCCCTGGAGGAACGTGCTGTTCTCACACTTCCGTGGCCTCCAAAAGGTGCTGACTTTAACATCATCGAGAACCTGTGAAGACAATTGAAGCAAATCCTGTCTCGCATGAATCTAGGAGACGCCAGTGCTGGCGAACTGTGGTTTGCCATAGCTGGCGAGTGGCAGCACCTCGGCGAGAAACAAGACCTTATAGAGTCACTCTACGAGTCACTTCCACGCCGTATGCGAGCTGCGATTTGCTTTGATGATGCATGCACGCGATATTAATGTTGTCACCCAACGTGCCTATATTTGTCCATGGTGCAAGCAATGTATTAAACTGCATAAATAGGCCACCATATTTCCACGCACAGTGCTTTTTTTGGTTTGTTCCATATGTGCTTACTGGCCAGAGTCTGACAGCGCCCGTTTGCCTAATCAACGGTAAAAGCAAACGCACGCTGCTCTGTCACCTTCCTCACCGCTTATTTTTGTTATTTTTGGTCTATTTCAGAGCACAAGTTTGTTTAAAAGGCCCCCCACCAGCCCGCGTTCAATGACGAGACAGTTTCCTCCTCGCCTCTACTATGCCATTTTCATAGGTGATATATCCCCCTCACCACATTTTCTTTTAGTAGCACAGGAAACATGTCAGCACTAACTGGTCAACCTTCGTTCTTTTTCTGCGCTAAATATGTAACAGGAGACGACACGAGAACACAGAAGTGCGCACTTCTGCGTTCTCGTGTCGTCCTCTGTTACATTTTTTGCTCAGCAAAAGAACGATGCCGAACCAACTAGTCCCCATTGAATCCTTTTTCAGTCGATCTTATGACCTTCACTCCCTGCCCTGAGCGGCCGGGCTGGCCGCTTCCACGTGCGGGGGTGGGGTGGGGGGCAATGTAGGTGTAGGCATTTATTACGCGCTTTTTCCTCATATGGACATCAGTCAATTATCATCACCTGTTCTCGCTGACAGTCATCGTCGTCTTTGTACGTGCGCGTCATTTTGGGTTCATGGCGGTAGTTCGCTCCCCAGTTCACGGCCAATAAACCTCGTTTCAATGGAATCGTCATAATTCGTTTGAATTGTGCCACAAGGCACATTTAAAACATAATTTTACTTTCGTGTTAGGTTGCTTCTTATGATGGAGGGATCAACCATGTTACTTTCAATGCTCCAGGATCTCAGAGAGGACCACCCACCTATTTTGGCTGTGTGGGTTTCCAAGCTATATATTTTGCGCCGAGTACTCCAATTTCACATATGATGGCAGACACTAGTTTTTGAAGTTTATTCACGATGCATATTTTCAGGAGATTACAAAAAATAGCAAACACGTTTGGGCCAGCTTTAATTCGATTGGCCATTGATTTACGTCGCGTACTGCCATCCAATGCGCAATAATTACATCACCCGGCTGACCTATATGATGACTGTACTTGCGTTGAATGTATTATCACTATAAAGATAATGAAAAAAATGCGCTACAGGAGCTGCTGTGGTTGAAAGGGCTATGAAAAACCGGTTGTCAAATGCAAAGCAGGAGTAGGCAAACATGAAAACCACCTAACGCGTGAACAGAAGATGAAATGCGCAAAACTTTCATTCTGGGTGGTAATCCGCGTACACTGAAGACAATGTTTTCGGGCACTGCGATAATTCAGCATCTGTATGTGTTCCCACAATTGTGATTGTGCAGGAAAAAGCAAGAAACACTGCTATCTGGGCACATGCGCAGCGCCTAGATAACAGTGGTGCTTGCCTTTCCCTGAACAACTGCAATTATCCCAGCTGGATAGGCCTCGGGGTACGCCCCAACCCTAATGTACTGTATGCGTTGTACTGCAGTGATATGACGGCGTGTCCACCCATTTGTGCGGCACTTCTAACCCAGGTCGTTAGACGGCCATAATCACCTGGGACGAGGCAACCCCTGGTATTGTGGAGAGCTCCGCGGCTACAGCACACGTTGGCATCTTGTAGTTCAGCATCGTGCACCCAGCCACAGATTGAAGCACCCAGGAGCAGCGGATCTAATAAGAAGGTGTGTAAATTCGTCGCTAAAGTCGAGTAGCCATGACCACTCACGATATGCGAATTACGGCGAATTTGAACTCGGACAGCTTACGCAGCGTATTTTAAATACCGGTTGCAGGGCTAATCTGTTCAGCTCAAAGGCAGAGCAATGCCAGCCCTTCGCCCACATGTAGGGCTTACGAGCACGTCGTCAAAGCCATAAGTTACGCGATTTTATTGTAGAAGTGCAGGTTACACGATATTATGCATTCATTTAAGCCCCGTCCAAGCCAGTGTAAAGCAGACGAGCTTTGCTTTGTGAGGCGGCAAGTTGCGCTGTTTGTGGCTCGTGATGTAGTGTGCCCAGGAGCACGCACTGCGCACATGCGAATCGATATGCTTTAAACTGGAAGATGATTTTTTAGTCAGCTTTGCTTTGTTGGCTGTGCTCATCCTTGCATGTTATAATTTTTATATTATGTCCGACAACCCAAGAGCCATAAAGCAAGTATTTTTTGCTGTGAAAAGTCCGGCACACATTATTAGCCTATTTGCAATATTACTCAGTCAGAGATGCCGCAAGCGTCGTGCAGCCTACTGCATATTTGGATAAAGAAAACCAGTCTTTATTGTAGTGACTCGTGCATAGCAGGTGAGCATGCGTAAGGCCACCTATGCCCCAGGGAAACCAAGTTCAGGCCCCACAAGCAGTGAAATCTGTTGCCCTGAAGAGCGAAGCCGGCTGCTCGCGTGTTCTACACAAACTTGGACAGAACTGTACAGCACTCATGGAGTGATATAGAACATTGAGAGCGAGGAGCTTCCGGTAGATGTTTACTATAGCGCAGCTTGGTTTCTCGTTGAACGGTGTTGCATTGTGGCATGAAATAAAGAGAACCTACATGGTGCACGATTGCCGCTTCCGGTCAGAGAAGCACGTATTCTGCTGTAAAGGGCACTATGTAAACGACGATGCCAACTCGATCCCGTCTTCTCATTTATGTATTGATTCTGGTGAACAGTGAACACAGACATCGAGGAAATAGGACTAGAGGTGCGTCAGTACACCTGACGAGGCGTACTGAAGCTTTTGCGCACTCAACATGATCACAAGGATCTGCGCGGCTCCTTGTGAACGTTTCATTCGTGTCTTCATGTTGTGTGCGCCAAAGTTTCACTATGCAGCTAAACCAGCTAGACCGCCTTACCGTATTTTTAACTGACGAGGGCCCAACGAGGGCCCAACATTTCGGTAGTTCAGGCACACGTTTCAGGCAGATGAATTTCACAAATGTTACATAGTGATGACACAATATTGTGTCGGCAGGGGCACCCCGTTAAAATGGTCATATTTCACTCTCTATACCATGGTGAGAACAATTTTGCGGGCAGGCGGGCGGAACGTGCTCCATGTGTCACACCCTGGCTACGCCCATTCAACTGCTATGGGTGAGGCTGTATTCACGCCATGAAATTCACGCCGTTTTTTTCTTCTTTTGCGTAGCGGCTGTTAAGCGCCGGTTCCAGCGCCGGGCGTCGCGTCGTTATTTATTGAATAGAATAACTAAGGGTAGCCAGACTATCAAAACTTGATGCTGCCAAGCACACTAAATTGTTTTCTCAGCTCAGCGTGCTTTTGTCTCGTTAGGTCATGTCGAACTTAAACTAGCCTAGTTGAGCGAACGCAAGTGTAGCCGAATCTACTGTAGCCTAGTTGAATGTGGCATCACCTGATAAATTTGGGCGTTAGTTTAATTAGGCCAGGTCATAGTTGCTGTTATGTCGAGCGTAGTAAAGTTTTGATGCACCCGGATGGGTTGAGAAACATACATGTACAGATAATTTATTGAAGCATAGTAGATCATGCTGCCATTAGTTTGCCTAACAAAATTAGCCTGAATAAGGTAGACCTTATCTCGGCAAATTATTCAGTGTCTGCTTCCCCATAAGCCCAGAGGCGCCAAACCTAAGACGATACAAATTACCCCATACTTGCACACTACGAAATAAACTCATTTCTCTTTAATCAGTGTTTGTTAAGATGGCTGTCAGGTATGGCTGATAAATTAGTCTCATACTCAAACACACCAGCGTACTGAAGCTTCACATCTTATACTTAGTCTCATTATGCATAAAAAGCTAATGAGGCAGCGGCTATGTAAGCACAGAAAATCTGACTAAGCATGATTATACATGGAACAAACTAGTCTGATTCTATTTAGAAAAAGATAGGCAACTTCTCATCAGAAGCAGCGTGACTATGCCATTTGCAGAGAAAGCACTTCTCCAATGCTGCGCCAGTCAACTCGGTCTTGTGTTCTCTGCTGCCTTGTTATACCTGCGAACTTTCAAATCTTCTTGGCCCACCTAACTATCATATCCCCTTCGTGCATTTGCCTTCTTTAGGAGTGCAGTCAGTCACCCTTAATGACCAGCGGTTATCCTGTCTACGTGCTACGTGCCCGGCCCATGTCATCTTCTTAACTTAGGTTTTGATATCACCAACTCCGATTCGTTCTCTAACCCCCTCTGCTCTCTTCTTGTATTTACACCTATCAATTTCCTTTCAATGGCTCGCTGCGTCGTCCCCAATATAAGCTGAAACCTCTTTGTAAGCCTCCAGATTTCTGCTGCCTAGGTAAGTACCGTTCAGATCCAGCTGTTATATACATTCCTCTTGAGGGTTACTGGCAAATTACCATTCATAATATGAGAATGCCTGCCGAATGTCATCCACCCAATTTATAGTCATCTAGTTGTTTCACACTCCTCCAAGGTTAATACCTAGCCTCAGTAGAGATATTTCTTTACAACTTTCAGCGTCTCCCGCCTACCGCAAATCACTGCTTTCTGACGAGACTGTTGCACATCACTTTAGTTTTGCGAACATTGATTTTCGGACCTACTCTTCGTATTGCCGTGTCCAGTTCAGTAATAATAAGCTTTAATTCATCCTCTCAGCATCTTCTCAAGGCAATGCCATCGGCGAAGCGCAGGTCACTAAAGTCCTCTTCATTAACTCTTACCCCACCTCTTCCAATTGTACGCCTCTCAAAACATCTTCTAAACACGCGGTAAACACCATTGGGGAGATTGTATCATTTGTATTACAGGCTTCATGATTGGTACTTTGTCGCTTTCTTTATGGAGCACTATAGTGGCAGTTGATCCTCTGTAGATTTCTTCCAGTGTGTTTACGTAGGGTTCGTTGATGCCGTAATTCTGTAGTGCCTGCATTATTGCTGATGTCCCGACTGAGTCAAACTGCTCCTCGTTTCCTGAAAGCTATGCATAGAGCTGGTTGTATTCCGGACATTAATTTTTTACCTAATTCAGAGTATGAATATGTTTTATTGTGAAGTAGCTTGTACGAAGTCCTGCTTGCTCTTTTGCTTCAGTCAACTGTAATGTCATCTTACATCTATTAGCACCATTTCACGTAACCAGCTAGGATATAACAATATATGTCTATGAGGACAATATGGCGTTCTTTGCATTGGAAGACAACATTAAGACCTCGTATCACCTGTTTTGGTCTTATCTTAACACGCTAGAGAACAGAGGCGTATCCGGGGGGGGGGGGGGGGTAGAGAAAATTGAACCACCTGAAAATTTGGCGCAACACCCTCGCGATTTACCCACCTTTTTATCGTCACTTCTCGTTGACGCAATGTGAAAACTATTTGGTGTTACTATCACAATATCATTCCTGAACGCTTCTACAGCGAATAGTCTGAATTGGGAGAAAAATTTAGATCCCACGTGCAGTGGGAGTCAGTGATATGCGAAGCACGCATTAGGAAGGTCAATATGTCACTTTAAGATTAGCACAACATTACGATGCAGACATAAATTAAGCCGTACATTACTATGATGCCTTCATTATCATGTTTCGACGAGTCATTTACCCTCGTTTCCTATTCACGTCACGTGAACCAAATTTGATATATGTGAAGCTAGAGAAACGGACATGAACGCACTATGAGCATAGAATGTAGTCATGTTTTACATGACAGGCATGTGATTATCATGTTTGGAAATGTCATTTGCGATCGTCATCCATTCATGTCAGCAATACAAATTTGGCCTATGGGGAATCAGCTGAATGGCCGCGAGCACGCTAGTGGCATATGTACCTACATTTTACATGAAACACACATCTTGATTATCGTGTTTGAATTTGTCATCTGCCGTCGTCATCCATTCACATCCCGCAATTCATAATCTAGCACATGTGAAGCCAGCAAAATGACCAAGAGTGCACTTTGAGCATGGTGTGTAGTCATGACTTACATGACATGTACATCTTGGTTCATATGCAATGACTAGTCACTTATGCTCGTCATATAATCATGCTGTTTTATACGAATTTCGGTATCAATGACATTATCGGAATGGCCAGGAGAGCTTAAAGTCGCCGGTGGATAGATGAATAGATGTATGGCTGGATGGGTGTGTTTGGGTAGGTAGGTAGCTAGGTAAGTAGTTAGGTAGGTAGGTATATAAGCTCAAAGTCGCCGAAGTTTGCTAAGAAATGCTTCGCATTTGAAATATATGGTAACGCTCAAATGAAACGCCTAAAAATTATTGAGGGTGCTGAAACAGCAAGCTGTATAAAACTGAAAGATTTACTATCGTTTACTGCATCCTGTTCAATAAAGCTATTCATGTGCCTAATCGTTCTCAGTGTAATGATCTTATGAAACCCCAAGAAGTGCCCGGCTGCCTGTGTGGCAAGCACAATGTGCTGGCTCCTTCGACAAGCATTCACAGAGGCCGTCATACAATCGAGGAATGGCGCCTCGCTCTTTCGCTCTTTCTCGTCGCACTTGTCTGCACGACGACAAAAAAAGGAAGAAAAAAGAATATACCTGTTTCTTAATTACAATATTTTGTTAGAGGAGTTGACAATTACAAAAAATTGCGATTTTAGTGCTACAAAGCATGAACACGTGTCATAGGAAGACGACAGACAGGCGCTACTAACAATTGGCTTATTTTCAATGTTGAAATAAAAATAGTAGAATT